CAAAGTGCTTGCCATGTTTAGTCATCGCGAAATATGTGCGCGCATTCCTACTACTTAATGCCAGGCGGCCTTCCACCCACTCCTCAGCCCAGCCCAGCCCACTTGCCAAGTGTCTGCATGCACTTTCCAAGGCACAGCAAGCAAGTACTCATCAGCAGCAGGGTACACTGAAAGAAGGGTATCTTAATTTGTGAATAAAAATAAAAAAAACCCAAAATTATAAGTTTATCTGCTTGTAGAGCGTTTCTGATTGAAGCACAAATGGAAATGCCAAGAAAAGATTCTTCAAGCCCGGCAATGTAAACAAATTTGTACAGATAAGCAAAAATTAGCGAAATGTATAGTACAAATAGAAAATAAATCCACATTCAGAAAGATATGCTGCAATCAGCACTTTCTGCAGCATAGTTTATAAATAAATAAATATAGCAGAATACTGGTTTAATAAATTGTAAATACATTTTTTATTAAAAAAAGAATAGGTAAATATAATTCGAGAATGAAATCGGGGACACTAGGTTCAAAACACGGCGCAACCATCATCGCATTAGCATGATTTAAAAAATTACTTTCTGTCTTCTGCAAGAGTGGTAATTTATATAAAAATGCGGACCGATTCGAAAAACAAAAAAAAAAAAAAAAATACAAAAAAAATAGAAAATGAAATCCAAAATCGTTTAATAGGAACGTTTTCTGGACGAATAAAATTGAAAAGCTCTCAATACTTTTTCAGCACATCATTTCCTAGAAGGAACCTATTCTTGCATCATTCTCTTTTCATCAATGACCTCTTTATTGACGATGTGTTCCTTTAACTTCGGGTTCAGCCAGCTATAGGGGACAGTACTTAAGCAGCACATTACATCCCTATGTGTTTTATTTTTTAAATTGTTGCTTTATTTAAGGTCTGTCCTAAGAAGACAATTATTAAATCAGGTTTTGTGCCTTGAATAGTGGCATCTTACAAAAGACAACATTAAATTCATTTTTCGAATTGAACATGCGGCTGTTATTTGGAAACTCTAGTTGACCCGGCGTGGAAGGTCAAGCGGGCTGTTATCCAGGAGATTTATGACAAACACGTTTACGTGAGCTGAGAGCCTTGGTGGGCCTGTGAGAATTTTAAACTGATTCTACTTTTAATCTCAAAGCATGTCTCACAACAATTTTCTAGACGATATATTCTACCGAAAAAAATATTACTTTTGCTTGGAGTTGCATCTATATATTCTCATCTGAACATGTATGAATTCTCATCTAATCCAATCAATTCCCAGAGTAATTTGGCGCATTTATAAAGAACGAGCATGCACTGTGTGTTTGGCATTTTAATGAATGACTTGTACCTATGTAGAAAATTAATGTTTCTTGCTTCTAAATGCAAGATAACTGTTTTCATTTTTTATTTTATTTTATTTACTTTATCGACAAACAAATATGCTACGACAAGTAAATAGGCAGTCTAATAAACTCTATTGACTTCATAGTGTTATTGATTTAAATAAAATAACTTTCTTAATTTGTAAATAACTTTAAATAACTTTCAATTGATAATGCATTAGTAAAAAGTATATACAAGTGTGTTTTTTAGCTGTTATTGTCGCAAAAACCTTTACAAGTATAGTTTCTAGCTGCAGAACTGTTTATAACCGCATACGAAATTTGTCTGCGTGTATTTCTTGTCACCATCAGGCTGGCAACCATCTAGACAGCCCTGATCCTGGGTCGCTGCCTTCGCACGCTCAAAGTATGTATCAATATTTGCATTTATAAGTTCTTTGCCTTTTGGCGTATTTGTTGAGTTATTAACTGAAATTAAGAAAATTGAAATGAGTTGGGTTGTGCAAGTTGTACTCGTATTTTGTTGAGCGAGGGAGCGGAGTAATTTTTCTGTGCCGGAGCGTGAAATTGAGGCACTCGCCTTAGCTGCGGGGGCGAGCTGGCATGCAATGCAGGCTTGGCTAATGCGGCCAATAAAACCCGCCAACCATTCAGCAATTTGATCAACAATTTTACGGCTTAACAGCAGCAGCAGCAGCAACAAAATGTGACCAATGGGAGCTACCGCTTTAACTTTTGTAATTATGCGACAAGATAATTAAGTCAATTTTGAGCGTGGTTAGAACAAAAAGGGCAGCCAGCCAGTCGAGGACAGCGTCGACAGCAACAACAAAAAACAATTGGAAATGTTGACAATGCCCAACAAAAGAGTCCCAAAACATTATGCCTGAATGCATTGACCAAAACATTTGGAAATCCAATGGGAATGAGAAAGGTTTTCGGCTATAAAAACCGCCAAATGGGCCAAAAGTTTTCAAATTGTAAAGCTTTGGGTTACACGCTCTCCATGTCCTTGTCTGTGTATGTATGTGTGTGCATGGATTTTATGCATGGATTTGAGAAACGCAGAAGTAATTGCAAGGAGCTGAGATTTCTGTCGCTGCCCGACTATTTATAGTCATTGGCTATTGCTACGACAATTTACAATTTAATTGTGGAGGATATAGGATATTTTATGTTTTTGTGTATGTATGTAGATAAAGGATTAGACAAATACTTGACTCAGCATGAACTACATAAGCTATATGTATATAGAAAGCATTGCTTGTACATTTTTTGAAATCGTGGACAACATTTTTGTGAAGGAGAAGCTTTTTTAGAGTTTTAGGTTGTTTCTCACACTACTATACTAATGAAGTTCACATCAAAAAATAATAAAAAATAATTAGTTATACTAATGAAGCTCACATCAAAAAATAATAAAAAATATAACATCAATAAATAAATATTGAAGCTGAAGTTTTGTGTAAATAGTTTTCACACAAATAAAATGTAAATGTTTTTACAACTTATAGGAATAATTTTGTTTATAGTATATTTTATATTTTCATCATATAAGCCGTTATCAACATGTTCGTTAATAGAATATGTTAAAAAATTGCAGGTGCGTAAATACTTATGGCCCCCTCTGTATAAATAATATTCTTAGTCGATTCCACTACGAGCGATAAATGTGATTGCAAAATTAAATATTTAAACACAATTGTGTAAATATTGAGTTTGTCCTTGCCCTTCGAACCGATAATCAGAAAAAATGCCTTTCATTTGTTTGCCCTTCCTTGCGAGTTTGTTTGAAAGTCGTGCAAACTTTTCAATTTGCACTATAAATGGCAAAGCACGGCAGATGTTCTTGAAGGCACCAAATAACTATATATCATAGCTATCAAAGCGTTGATAATGCGTCATGATTAAAGCTATAGAAGAATGCAAGCCACCCGCTGACAAACGCTGAGCCACGACACTTGAGCTCGCGGTGGTTGATCCCCGACTTTGCTTTCCCAATAGAACGCACCGCATTTGCATGGGTGTGTGCCTGTGTGCCTGTATGTGTGTGTGTGTTGTCTGAGTATCGTCCTAGTCATCATCATCATCATCGTTATTATTATTATCAAAATAATTGCAGACACACTTCGCGTCAAGCGGCAGCGAACGCACTTTTCTAAATTATTTCATTGATGCGTGCCCTGAAATTATTTTGGAGCAACTTTTTTTTGGGGATTTCTGGCTTTCTACGTGACGTTGCTAATTTAGAATTTGCCGCTTAAAATTACATGCGACATTTGACTTGCGGTAGATGATTGTCATCTTCATTTGTTTTCTAGATATGTAGATATGTAGGTGTGGGCTGACTCTGAGTCTTAGCCACTTCTTAGCCCTGTGGTTTTAACCCTTTAAGTGATTTTTGGCATCGTGTGTCAGGTGTGTTTTCTGTGCGGTTTCAAATCCGAGCCAGTCTTCCTCTCGTAATGAAAGCTGACAGGCGCAAGTAATGTTAATTATGCGGTGCACTCAAAGTTAAAGACAGGCAGACAGACAGACAGAGATACTTTAAACCGGCAATCCAGAAAAGCAAAAAAAAAAAAGTGGAGAAGGAGAAAAAATATCAGCGCTCGCAGAACTGCCATTGTGAGAGAGTCCTGGCGCCAAAGAAGAAGCTGTCAGGCGTTGTTGTAAATGCCAGGCAAACGGCAGATAAGCCCCACCAAGCCAAGCCGAGCCAAGTCGAGCCAGCCCGGAGAAGTGCCGTCGACATCCCGACGCGTCGCCTTCCTCATCGTTGTCATTGTCGTCGCTGGCGCGACTAAAATTAAAAAGGAAACTGATAAGAAATCGGCGCTGCCAACTTGACACAATGAACTTAATATTAATATGGAGTAAATAAAGCCATTGTGGGGCTCGAAAAGAAGTGAAGTGTTGAAAAGATTTACGAGCACCACAGAGAGCAAGAAGGAAAAATGTGCCACAACTTTTCGGTAGTGCTTTAAACAGCCAGCAGTGGGGACGCATGAAGCGGACATAAATTAGCCATGGCCATTGCTATATTGTAAGCACACTGGAAAAAATAAAACGAAAATCGAATGGGTACTTTTTCATAAGCCTGTGAGCAAACATTTAAATAATCATTTTGAATCAAAAATGTGTAAGAGAAAGGAAAGGTTATGAATACTTGTAGCTAATGAGTTAAATGCAACAGAAAATAAATGAAATATAAAAAAATGAATCTCATTTCGGGTAAAAGGGTGAGGGGAGGCTTGTCTCACAGTCATGCAGATGGCTGAAAAGAGAGTTTTATAGAAAGAAAAAGAGAGATTTCGGTTTAGGGCAGGTGGAAATTTTCATTGTAATTTAAGCAAAAGACCTTTTTGTCCCGTCACGCTTTAAATTAAAAAAAGTAGGTCTGCTTTTCCATAAGGTGGCTGTTCTAATTTAATTTAATTTCTTTCTTATTTTCCTATAAACAAAATTCGTTTCGATTTTGTGTTCAAAAACTGTTTATAACTCAATGATGTGCTGAGACCCCAAAGATCTACGATTATCTCAGGTCAGCTTTAGAGGAACTATATTTTTAACGCTTCCGAAGAACCATATTTGGATTTCAATAGGCTATTACTAAATCTTCAATTTTAAATAGTATATAAAAATGTGTAAACACGTACATATAGCTTTAATTATATAGTTATTTATTACTATTATTATTATTAAAAAAAATTTGTTTCAGAAAGTTGTACTTGTGATTTTCCCAATTTTAATTCTTTAATTTGTATGTGATACAGTTTCCCTTCTTCCTTGCACCCTTTCTTCTGAGCCACCTCATCGCATATTTTCTTTTGAGTCGCTTCTCTTTAGAACCTCTCTTCCACTTTCTCTTTCGAACCTCTTCATCGAATTTTATTTTGAGCCGTTTCTTTGCACCCTTTCTTTTGAGCTGCTCCTTCGCACTTTTTTTCTACCCGCTTATTTTACTGTTTTTTGCTTTTCTTCTTTTGTGTCCTTTCCTTGTAATTTTTCTTCACTGTAGTTTCATGTATGTGGAGACACAAATAAAGAAATTTTCTTCAACAATCTTTCATATGTTTAATTTTCACTTGCCTTTCAGTTTTATATATTTTTTTGCTCTTCCATTCACGTTTGCTTTTGCTCTTCTTCATCGCCTCATTTTTTCTTATTAGACGCTCCTCCGCACTTGTTCTTTTTAGCCGCTTCTTCGCACTTTTTCTTTTGAGCCGCTTCGGCGCACTTTTTCTTTTGAGCCGCTTCGGCGCACTTTTTCTTTAAAGCCTCTTCCTTGCACTTTTTCTTTAGAGCCTCTTCCTGACACTTTTTCTTTTGCGCTTCTTCAGCACATTTTTTCTTTTGCGCTTCTTCCGCACATTTTTTCTTTTGCGCCGCCTCTTTGCACTTTTTCTTTAGAGCCTCTTCTTTGCACTTCTTCTTTTGAGCTGCTTTTTCCATACACTTTTTAATTTCTTTGTCATCACTGAACATTCGTGCATGCAGAGATGCGAATGATGTAGCTGGCAATCCCATTCTGTTTATTAGATTGGATCGCACAAACGGATTATTGATCTGCCTCATCAGACTAGCAGTACATTGGCGCAGCGACATAATGAAAACTTTTTAGAATTTAGGGATTTTTGTTTGAAAGGTTACCAAAATTTTGTTTTGTGTGATTGTAAATGTCTAAAAACAATTTTGATACTAAAAGGTATGGTTACTGAGCTAACATGTGAAATATTCTTGTAATACTACAAGTATTACTAGATCATCTCGTAAATATTTTCACTGATTTTTATTTTTTTTTTATTTATTTATTTTTTATTTATTTCTGACAAATATCTGTGTGAATGTTTATATGTGTAAAATTTCTTTGTCATAACACAACTTAATGTTTAATTTACGAATTATATTCGATTTGCATTGAAATATTCGAGTCAAGCTCCGAAATTCGGTTCCAAAATGTCAAATACACCCCAAAGATAATGGATGGAAAGTGGAAAAAATTGGTCGATCTTAACGTTTTGTTGATATATTATATTATAAGAAGAGATTAAGAATCGGGGATAGTTGGCCAAATGGTAAATAAAATTCCCCTAACGTGTCGGGGGCATTTATAGATATTATTATATATTGAGTAATTTGGAGGTTTTCTTATTTGTTTTAAAGTTGAAAACTTCATATTATTTTATATCTTTATTGTAACAAAATATATTATAATATAATTATTATTGTAAAATAATATATTTTAATATAATTATTATTGTAATAGAATATATTTTAATATAATATAAAACATCTTATAGTAATTTGTATCGACAGCACAGTTTGATAATTTATTAAAATAAAATTAAATTAAGAAAAATAAAAATGTTTCGTACATGTATTGGATCAGTGTAGGTTAAGTGGTGCTGTGGCTGTTTGCTATTTTGACATTTCCCTGTAGAAGGGAAGATTTAGGGCTGTTTGTTTGGCATTCGCTTTCGCTACCCCTTTTTGTTCCTCCCTTGCTTTATCCTTTATTGTTACATTATGTGTAATTCGCGCCGTTTTGTGGTTTCGTTACCTTTGCGGAGCTGCCCTGAAGTCCGATTGCGAGCATTGCCGCTTATTGTTATTGATGTTGTTATCAGTTGCAATTACTTTTTTGATTTACACATTTTGGTATTTCTTTTTGCGGGTTGTGTGTGTGTGCGTGTGTCAGTGCTGTGGTGACAATTTTCTCGCATCGTTTGCGGTTACAGGATGAGGGAATAAGCGGCTGTGGCGAAAGCCTCGTTCAATGCCTGAGCGGCGGTTGGGCCTTTTTTTGGTGTGCTAGGTGACGGTGGTGGGGGAGAGGGGGGGGGAGGTGTTGGTTAAAACAGTTTGCATTATTGACAGTTGTTGTGGAATAATCAGATTTAAAACGTTAAATGTTGATGCTGCTCGGTTCTCTTGGTTAGTCTGTCGCTTGCCATATTTTTCGCCGGCTTTGTTTCCGTTTTTCGTTTTTCTTTTTCAAACAGCTTTTATCTTTCGGCTTGCATGGAAAAATCAGAACAGATTGGCTTTGATTTTAAGTAGCAATTTCCTGCTATTGCTATTGGTTGGGCCTAAAAATTGTGAGTAGATATGCAAAGGGTGCTCGCAACGCAGACACCCATCAGGGATAGCTTTAAGCACGACAGCGTAAATGTTTTTTTCTTTTTTTAAATAAACGTATTTATGGAGGAGTCTGTATCATGAGCTTGCCAGCCGAGAGGTGAAGGAAAGGAGGGCTGAGGCTCGAAAAGTAACAAGCCGGAATGTACACTTCTGACCAAAATGTTATCTTATAAACTTATAACCAAGTGGCGTTACGTTTTTGCATATAAAACCTTTATTACTATCTATATTTGAAGTTGGTTCAATGTGGGTTCAGTCGCTTAGGAAATCCGGGCGTTCATACAGACAGACGGACATTTCTAGATTGGCTTTGCTCGTTCCTGCTGATTATGAATTAATTAACTAAGTGGGAGATGCTTTCTTCTCCCTACTTATTAAATAATGTGCACGAAGTTGTTTTACTATTTTTTGTTATTCGAATATAGGATATGATAATGGGAAAATAGGGCTGTGATTGTAGTACTCTAAGTTCACAAAATGTCTTAGCACATAGAGTTCACTACATTCAAGTGATTGACTATAACTATAACTGAACGAGAGCTCTCAGTGTAAGCTCAGCATAATACAAATCAGCATATGTTAAGCTTGATTGAGACGCAGCCCTTAAACTCCCCTCTCCCTGCTTACTTAACTTAAATTCGTTGCTTAATGCACCTGCCCCATCTACGGTCCTTGGCGTGCGGAGCACCCTTAAAATAAAACTTCAATTTCTCTGCTCGTCGCCACATTACGTAAGTGGAGATACATCTACATTGGGGCATAATCAAATTCAATTGCTCATTCAAAACATTAAACTGTTTATTTTTGGTTGGGTGGCAATACTGGTGGAGCGGCAATACTGGTGGCTACACTGCCTGATGGCGTCGGCTCAAGTGGCACGGCACTTCATCATGCCGCCTAATCATTTGACCCACTTGAGAGTTGTGCAAATACTTTTTACGTTGTAGCCAGCTTATACACACACACACGCACACATACACGCATTGCCTAGACGGGCACTAACACACATATACACATATGTACATATGTATGTATGTATGTATGTGCGCTCAAAAGCTCAGTCAGAAACAGTGCGACACACGCATACTCGTACGCATACAAGAGCCGGTCTAATCCTTTCAACAGTCGAGTCGAGCAGCAGTTTTGCATGCATGCAGCAATCATTTGCCTAAGGTGGTAGGTGGTAGGGCGAAGGGGGGAAGGTAGACCAGGATGAGGACGAGTTGAAGGGACGGCATGTGCTGCTGCTGCGCTGCTGCGCTGCTGTGCTGTGCTGTGCAGAAGTGAAGACAAGGAATTTGGAAAATCTCAGCTCAGTGTCAGGTTGCACGTTGAAAATTTGTCGTCATCGTGTCTCGCACACAAAAATGGCGTTAAGCATAGAATTTAGCCAAGAGGAAGAAACGGTGGCGAAGACAACAACGAAGAGGCGAATGTGTGGGCGAAGGGAGGACGACGACGACGTGGGCGCGGCTTTCGTGGGAGGCGGGCGGGCAAAGACAAACATGTCAGTCGGCTGCAGCAAGCATTTGAGAGCCGCCATGCCTGGCTGCGGCTCAAGGATAAGACAAGAAATAATAAATTATATTTGCGTGATTTGTGTTAGTAGTTGTTGTTATTGTTGTTGCAACTTTCTTCTTCCTTTTGCTATTTAAAATGTTTCAAAATGTTTAACAAAAATTCGCTCTCAACTTTTGCTTCTGTTTCCCTCAATTGTTCTCCGCTTTGTTGTTTGTTGGCTTTTGTTTATAACGGCAAAATGTTGGATTAGGCAGTAGCAGCAGGACATTTCTACTGTTGTTGTTGTTTTCTTTTTTTTTTTTTTTTTAGAAGAGCACGTTCCGCTTCTTGCGCTCACTGGAATGGTGCCGGACTGCGCAGAGAGCAAACTGGAAGCTGGGCGCCTTTTTAAGAGCGCGTCGCAGAGCAACAAAGAGAGCAGCATTTGGGCATGGCCAGAGAGCGCTTTGCTCTTTATCTTTTATTCATCAAACATGTTTACAGCATTCCGTTTTGATTTAAGTTTTAGCCACTGATACTGTATTATGGCCAAACTACCTTAACCCTACCTCACCGAAACCTGAAAACTTTCTCATCCCCCTTGTCAATTTGCAGTGAAATTCTTTTGAGGATATTTTCCCACATTGCAAACTTTCCACATGACTTGGCAGAAAAAAAAATCAAAACGGCATTAGTTGCGCTTTTTTCTCCTTACAATTTTGCATTGCCACCAAACTGACAGTGAGGGTCACACATTTAACCCAAAACTAAGCGAGCCCAGGGTCATTGCGCTCTAATAATGGTTGCAATCCCGAAAACACTTCAATGAGCTCTGCAAATAAATACAAACAAATAAACAAGCCAAGCGACGCGTGCTGTTTACACACACACACACACAGATGCAGACATAGTTAGAAATTCAATTTCAATTGAGCGTCAGTTATTCGCAATCTCCCAGATAAATTTAGCAAATTCATTGGCGGAAGGACCACGCTGAAGGACGTCCCTGTGCATGGGTCTTAAGCTCCGGCAAGTGCATGCGCGCATAGCGAAAACCCAAGAATATTACTTCAAGTCATGCCAGTACACTGGGCTCGAACTACGAAAAACACGACTCGACTTTTCAACTGAATTATAATGGTCAGAAACTAAAACTGCTTTGTTATTCAAGATTATTTCATTTGGAAGAGCACCAAAGATGTAATGTACTGAACTATGTGGTTTTTCATAGTTCGGAGACCACAGAGTGTGAGAACTAAAGTCTGATAAAATAGAAAAGGATATTCAAAATAGATTAAAAATAATAAAATCCCCAATAACCCGCCTAGAAAGACAACATTGAGCTTGCTTTAAAGTCGTGCCTGGACTGACTTCTGATTGGTCCACCATTAGAAAACCTGAAACTGAAACCTGTAATTCGTTTAGTTTATGTTTATTACGGACTTTGATTGTTCGTTATTCCATGTTATTGTATGTCAACAGTTGTGTTATGGCCAAAAACTGTAGGTCGATTTCTAGCTTTTTATGAGGTATGCGGTCAACATCTTTTCGTCCCGCCACGCTCATCAGGAATATACTCAATTTCTTCAATTGTTTTTGAACAAAGTGTTCCCTTAAGTAAATTACTGAGAAAGCAAATTAATTTGCGCATAAACACTAATTACTGCTCTCCAGTATTGTATGTTCGTGTGTAATGAAGTTATGCATTTCAATCAAAAAGCAATAATAAAGCAATAGAGATCATAATTTTCGACAGCCAGAAATTTATTTGCAAACTAGTTAACCTAAGCAATTAGCTTCCTATATTACCTAATAATATATTTGAATAACAACAATGAAACGAATATATTATTAGAACACATAACAGAAAATACATGAAATTACAGTAATTGCCGTATTATCTTTCACATTTTGTGCACTTGATACTCTTAGCATGGTCTATAAAATAAATAAACAGATAATAAACGAGCTGGGAAAACATTTGTTTTGATCAAATTAAAATATTGCCAAGCCAGTGTGCACTTGCCCAACCAAGTTTCTCACATCCCCCGAAACTTGGCAGGGCACTGCGTTGATTTTGTTGACAATTTGCCGGGTATTTTGTTTTAGAGCGTTTCAGAGAGTTGGCGGTCTGGCTTCGTTTCTTAATCTGTGTTACGTTTAGCATTCCTTGCTTCTAATACTCGTATTAGCCCGGAAAAAAGGAAAGAAAAAAGATTTCAATGCCGAGATTAACGCTGGCACAAAAAATTGTTACAATTGCCGAGCCAATGCTCGAGGGATGGATGAGAGGATTCTTTAATGACCGGGGCACATTTGCCCGAGTGCAATGCAACAACAACAATAAAAACAACAACCCTTGGAAGCAATGCAACCGCAACACCAATGCCAACAACATCAACACCACCATTACTATATGACTCACAGAATGTGCGCATACAGTGGTGGCTATAAAATGTATTACTGGTATTATTGGGAAGTGCAAATCAAATTAAAAATTTCAGTAAAATAAAATAAAAAAAATTGTACGGCTAATGGTTAGCGAAATGAAACTGTTTTAGGGTTTTTATTCTTGTATTAAAGACCCGCAAGATCAGCAAAAAATTAATAAAAATAAAGAATCTTACTAATTATACTTCTTTTTTATTTATTTATATTTAGTAGTCAAATTTTTTGAATCATTGTTGAGCTGTTAGATACCTATACATTTTTTACACATATTAAATTTCACGCGCAAATTGTTTATTCTCGTTTCCAAAGGTCCATCAAATATTACCACTCAAAGATTGGAATCAAAATTTCCTCATAATAATGTCAAATTCGTTATTACGACTATTACTTAAAAAAAGAACACATCTCTTATTTCATTTGCCAAAAGTATTTGTGGATTAAAATAATATAGCTTATAATATATGCGTAACTCAATATTTAACCTTTAATCTTGGAATTTGTTTAAGAGCGAATAGTACATGTTATCATCGTAATCATTTTTGTAACAATATTCAGTAACAACATGTCGCCAAATAAATAGCCAGTATTTTGCAGATTGACTTAAACACTAAGAATGATGTTTTTCTTTTGTATTAAGAACAAATTATTTACAATTTATTAAACTAGTATTCTGCTACCAATATGGCAGCTTAAGCTAGTTGCAAATTAATATGGAATACAAATATTGTCCATACAATACATACATCTATAGGAAACACTTAAATCTATGTATGTAAATATACAATGCAATATTTACAATATTGTTAGCTTTATTTAATAGAAATAATTCAGCATGGTTGTTTTGAGAGCCCTGCCGGATTAGTAGCTGTGCCTATAATTCGGGTACATTACTGTCTATTGTAATTGCGTGCGTTTGTGCCCTGCCAATGACATTTCCCTCCCCTCTGCGTTGTTGCCGACACTCTGCCATCAGCACTCAGCTCATTTTTCACATATTTTGCAAACTGAAACTATTTTCAGCATTTACTTCCTCGCACCCCGACCCGCGCACTGATTGCAGCAGTATTGTCGTTGTTGCTGTTGTTATTGTTGTTGTTGTTGTTGTTGCAGTTGTTTTTGTTTCTGTTGTGCGTACGCATTGCCTTTTGTGTCGTTCGACAGCGAGGCAAGGCGAGGCGTCTTTGGCACTCCAGTGCGTTAATTGGTTTTATTTTTAATGATGTTTATGCGAGACAACCAAAAATTCCACAACATGCCCCCTCCTTTCTCTTTCTCTTTCTCTCCCTTCCGCGCTCTCCTCACTACAGACAATGCAATTATTTATGGAAATTCTGAACGTTCCGTGATTTATATGTGCCTGTTCATATGTATAGTAGTATGTACAAATGCGTGTTTAGCTTAGCGCTCAAGTGGCAAAGTGTTTTTCATATTATTAATACAAGTATTGCTGCTCACATGTTTCTTTTTGTTTTTGATTCTATGCAGGCTGGTGTGAAAGACAATTAAGCACTTAATTGACTCTTTGCTAAGTGATAGGGACAATCGAAAAACAGAGAGACCCAGAGAGAGAGAGAGAGAGAGAGTCGAACTCATCTATACGCTAATATTAGAGTTTAATGTTTTTTTAAAAACGTTGAATTTTTTTAAGTGCGGTCACTGATGGTTTTGAAATGAAGAGAATCGGAGGAATATAAATAAATATTGAAATACCCCATAAGCGGAGGGAAGACTTGAATGTGGTTTGAAATAACTTAACCTCTTAATACAAATCATTGAATTTTCTTTCAATATAACTAATTGTGTGGATAAATAAGCAGCCAGAGAGTTTATTAGAAAAAGAAAACTAAACTAGATGTTTTAAAATTTTCCATTTACTTTTTAATACTTTTTTTCAAGAATGTTTTGTTAAAAAATAAAAATAAATTTATTCACTTTTATATTAATCTTAACAAAATGTTAGTTATTGAGAAAAACGTTAAGCCAAATCAAAAACATTTACTTCACTAAGTGTCATGTCTTGAATGTGTATGTATGCTTGTTTTGCCTTGCCCTAAAAGGTTTACAAAAATGATAAGTTTTAGCAGTTTTATAATTATTATTTTTTTCGTAACTACTTGTAAAACATTATAATGCAATATTTTCATTTCTAATTGAATTCTATATACCTCCAATAATTTTCGAAATATAACTACTCCTTAGGCGAAGGAAAACTTAAAGTATATACTATACTTGTATATACTCGCATAGATATTCAATTAATTTTCCTTAATTTCCGAAATATTAAAAAGGTCCCATTGCTTTAAATTTGTTTACATCTCAGTGTCACACACACACACCTACAGACCTTTTGCATTTTGATGAATTTCGTGCTGAACAACAACAGGTGTGCTTGCTTCGTAGCAGGCCGCTGGCCAATGCAGAGCACATTATCGTGAGTGAGGAGTGTTAGGTGGCAAAGAGTGAAAGGCGCCGGAGAAGAGGGGGGAGGCATTCAGTCAGTCAAACTGCCTGCACTTGCACATTAGCCGTTCGATGGTGAGGCGCTAGATGGGGCAGGCATAATTTATTACTAAGTCTGGCCAAATCAAATGCTTTAGCGTTCAAAACCTAAAGAGCAAAGCGTGCGGAAATGCCGACAAAAAGCAAAAGACAACAAACATGCCGGCAAGCGTACCGATTGAGGGTGGCAATGGAGATGTTCGCTCTCTTCTTCTCGTGCTCTCTCGCCATAACTGGAATCCGCACTCGCAGCTGTTATACGCGCGAAGTGAGCGTAGCACAGTTATGAGTGAAAGTATGTACGTGTGTACGTACAGCAGCCCTTCGTCGACTGCATTCGTGCGTTGTAGGCGGCAGCTGTGTTGTGGCGGCCAGTTTTCGAGCGAATTTCGTGGAAGTCGGACGTGTGCGCGCGTTGTTTCTTAGCCGAAGTACAACAATTTATCAACTGCTCTGCGCGACGTGAGCAACAAACAACACATTTGTTTTGCAGCTAACGGAAAATAATGTAAACGAAAGTGGAAAACAAATTGCGATTACGGCGCTAATTGCTAATTAGCAAAAAGTTTATTCTAACTTTTCGTCACTTTGTCTCATTTAAATTATCAGCAGCCGCGTACAGGATCCCTGCCAATAAACATTTGGTAAACATGTTTTAAACATAATTAATTGCCAATTGCTTTTGAGAAGCTGTGTGTGCGTGTGTGTGTTTGTGCGTGCGAACGTGTTTTTATTAAAGATATACATATATAAAAAAAAAGTAATTGCATTTCAAGCATTTTATCAATAAGCGGCGCCAGACGACGCTCGCGATTCGTATTTCGTTTACCACTTCAATTGCAAAAACAACAATAACAACTACATACAACTACAATTTGCGTATAAATACGCAGTAAGGCGCAAAGCAAACACGTAAACGAAGCTCCAGCAACAACTGCCGTTGTTTTTGTTGCTCTTGCTGTCGCTGTCGCAGTAGCTGTTGTTGTTGTCGCCGCGGTTAAAACATCGCCGTCGTTGCTTGCCGCTGCCTGCCTGTTGTGCGCGCAATTTCCGGTTTCCGTTTCCGTAGTCGCGGCATCGTTGTTGTCGTCGTCGTCGTCGTCAGTGTTGCCCCTTACGCTAATAGGCACGACAATGTTAATTTGGCTGCCAGCTTGAGAAGAAGGTGTTAAATGTTAATGAATATAACACACACACATACTATCCATTAAAAAAGAAGTGTTGGAAAAGTGTAGCATACGTTGCAGAGTCGATTACAAGCAATTTGAATATCTCCACAAATTGTGGGCACTATAATTGTGGTCAGCAAGCAATTTTGAAGCAGCCCCCATTCACTGCTCAATTTCCTAGCCAGAAACTACAAATAACTACAACATCAGGTAGGTGCTTGACATGCTAGTGACTTTTATAACTAAAGGAGAAAAATGAAAAAAATGTACATTTTGTTTTGCTGCTCTTGGCATTTAATTTCATTTCATGCGCCCCACTGCTGTGTGCCAAAACACATTTCAGGCGTGGCACATGCACACACACACACACACACACAAACACAAAACAATGGGGCTAAGCAAGAGAAAATAAAAAGGAAAAAACGGTAGCCCGAAACAGCGTGTAAGACTAGCAATAAAATGGCAAGCAGCGCAAAAGTTTTGCGCGCCAAAAAGCATGCAACGCAAAGCGCAAAAGGCGCGTAATGTTTATGTGCAACATAAAACTAACGCGGTCGTGTCGCATTGTTGGCATAGCTCTGGGGGAGCTCTTGGTGAGATCTAGGGAAGATCTAGGGGATCTAGTGGGGCCTAGGGGGAATCTAGGTGGGCGGAAGGGGCAAGGCAGCATGCCGTGTGCGCCATTTTTATTTTTATGAACTTTTATTATGATTTTTGCTCTTGCTTTCTTTTTATGCTCTACACTTTAAATAAAAAGGTATCATGTGTACGAGTATGGTGTGCGAGAATTGTTCATAAGGAAGCTGTATTTTCTTTTTAAATCTAAGCAATAATTAAATGCAGTTATTTGTAGAAGTTAGAACATTTTTTGTCATTTCAAAGAAAAATGCATAGATTATAAAAAACATATAGGAAAGGATATCGCAGAGAGAAAATATATTTACAAGGAACTTGAAATGAAATAAAACGTTTATAATAGATTTAAAATATTTTAGGAAATGAAAATAAATACACACATACACATGCAATTTTATTTATTATTCAAAATGTATTTCGAAAAATATGCCAAAACATGTTTAAAAAAAACGATGATGGTTTTTCATGTAAATTTCATGTAAATAATCAATAAAAAATTGATAATAAAAGAGTTTTTGTTGTACTTTAAATATTCGTTCAAAAACGATGATGGTCTTTTTTTAAGTATGAACGAGATATCGAGAAAATCTCAAGTAAATAATTAATAAAAACTTTAAATATTCGTTTACTTATTCTTTTTTTTTCTTGTTCTTAAAAATCAATGCAAATAAATAGTGAAGAGCGTAAATAGATAATCTAGAGAGTGAAGCAATGCGACTTAATTTAGCTAGAAAGCACATTTATTTTTTTTAATTTTTTAATTTTTTGCACCTATAATAGACCAAACAATATTTAGTGTAATTAGACAAAAAATTAAATAATAAGGTTTAAGAAGTTTCTCATTTATATTTGTTCAACAAAAGAAGACAAGATTTATAGTGATTATTATTTGAATATTTATCTTTAATTTTACTTTTTTATTTAAAATAAATATCTTGTATTTTCTTTCATTATAAAAACGGCCTTCCACTAAAACAAACTTTCAAAACTAACAGTTGATAGATACCAACATAATCGAGCAGTAAATAAGACAACATAAGAACCCCAAAGGGTAGACAGCAATTGCGCCAAGGAAAACATACAAAAACATATTAGTTTAATTTCGAATTGAGGTAATCTTTTCAGCGTATTCTCGCTTCGGCAAAGCTGAAGAAAACATTTTATTCCCTGGCCGTTTCTTGTGCTTTTGGTTCACTCGGTCTGACTCGCTGCTTATTCTATGTTTGCCATGAGTTTGTTGTGTATGTCGTTGTAAACAATAATCATAATAATCATAAGCACAATCACAGCAGTATGCGAGTTAAGGCAACAGCAGCATCCACAACCGAAGCAGCAACAGCAGCAACAACTACTACTACAGCAAGAACTTTAACGACGGCTCGTTGTCGTCATCATCATCACAACCTTTTTGCTGCACGTTTTTAGGCGTTTTTCGCACGTTTGTTGTTTGCAGCTATTCAAGCGCCTCGTGCCTCGTCCAGACACAATGGGCACACACACACAGACAGACGCACACACACGCATACACCGTTACACACTAACACTTACAACATGCTGCCTTTGTTGTTGGTTGTGTATCGCACTTAGTGCACTAAATTGCGCACAATTGAAAGCATACTTTCAGGTGCCTAAGCATTTAGTGCCGTACTATGTGAACTTTTTACATTTGCGCTTTGCGCTTTGTTCCTTGTCGCTTTGCACTTTTTGCTGTTAGTCGCGCTTGTTTGTACGCTAACAAAATTTTAATGCAAATGCCGTCTCACTCTTGGTTGTCGTCGTCCTGGACTGACTGACGGACTGACAAACTGGGTGACTGGCTGGCTGGCTGGCTGACTGACTGGCGGGCCCCACGCACATGGCACCTTTCCAAACACCTGTCTGCTTATTTATAGCATTTTTTTGAATTCTTTCATATTTTTTTTGCGCTGCATACCTCTTCACTTGGTTGCCCTTTTTTGCGCTGCTCTGTTTCCATCCCTTGTGGGGCACGAACTGTTTTGTTTTCGTTGTAGCTCTTTGGCCCAAGGGACTGGCCTCGTTGTTTGTTTATTTGTGCTCTTCTTCCTTGCTTTTCAATGCGTTTTTAAATGAAAGGTTTCCATTTTTTATTATTATTATTATTAAATATTGCAGCACATTAAATTTTGGGGACGCACTGCTAGAATTGTGGAGGAGTATAGCGAAAAATGTTTGCTACGAAATGGAAAATGTTTTTTTTTTTAAATTTAAAACATGAATTGTCGAGGGATCTTCTGGTAACGTAGGCTAAGACGCAGAAGGTGGGACTGTAAGTGGATTGTCAAGGCGCCAAAAATATCATTTCATTCATTAAGTATCCAAAGGATCTTTTTCAAGTATTTTTGTGCTTAGTAAAGCTAAGCATTATATAATCGAACCTAAACAGTATTTACTATACTTGCCTCTAAACTCTATACAACAGAAATATGGTAAGTTTGTCATTGGATAGTATAAAGTATACATATTTTGATACATAGACGAGGGTTAAGAGTTAAGCTACCTTAGGAGGTCCACTTTAAATTAAAATGAATGGAGAAGCTCAAAAAGTACCTTTAATTTTCAACATTAGGGCCAAGTGTCTTACAATTTGGCTGAGAACAACATGCAAACAAATAAATAGTCTATCAAGAAAGAAAGGCAGACAGACAGATGAATGAGAAGTATAATTTGTAGTGACGGCACAGCTTAGAGCCAATTTAGTATCATCAACATGAATGTCCAATTAAAAACTATTATTTCAGCCAGCTCAAAGGATCCTCATCTCCATTGTAATTCAATATTAAATGGCCGGCCATCCATTAGGCTTTGCAAAAGCTCTGTCTAATTGCCAGGCTAATTTACACCTACACCACTCCTGGGTCGTCCAATCAATGCCAAGTTTAGCTTAGCTGCATAAAATTTCAGCAGTCGAAATTCCTTAGCACTAATTGACCCTAATTCCTTTAATCAATAATATTTGAACTGCTGCTGTTGCTGTTGCTGCTGGTTTAGTAAACTTGTCGCTTCCGCTGCATGCACTGTGGACGATGAGCCGACCAGCAATCGCATACTTACAAAACCCCATTGTCCGCCTGTGTCTGTGAATGAGTGTGTGTGTGTGTGCGTGGCATAATTTCATTACATTTTCTCTGCAATGCTCTTTACGCAGCTTTAATTAGATTAATGAAAAATAGGATTAGGCAGTCAAAGCCTTAAGCGCGCCGCATGGCCAGACACAAGGGGCTCAAAATAATTGTGTCTAGGGGTTGTGTCTAGGGGTGTGCGACAACCCAAAAAGTATGCCCTAAATATATGTATGTATATAACTTTAACTTAATGCTATGAGTCTTAAAGTCGCTTGCATAACTTTCTTACATTTTTGGACGGCGTCTTGCGGTTTTATTCCCAACTTTTTCTTCAATGCCTACATAAAAATTAACAGTCAAGATTCTTTATAATAAACACAAAGTAAAATTGAAAGTTTATGGATGAGAAATAAATTTTAAAATACTTCATTTATTAATTTATTTATAATGATACCAAATTCTATTATTGTTTTGATCAAATTCAGTTCTTACATTAAATACGGAACATGAATGTTTGTCAAATTAAAAAAGAAAGTGAAAAAAGAAAAGACAATTATTTTTATGCCAATTATCGTTTGAGATCATTAGCCTAATTAGTTGAGAAGATATTCAAAGCTTGTGAAGTATTAGGTGTTAAAGGAAAATTATTTTCCTCAAATTCCTTGTTTTTGTTTTTAAACGGATTTTAGTGTTTTTATTATTATTATTTTTTTTTCAACTAATTGTTTGTCTGAACATCTGAACATTTGTAATTCAAAAACTCGTTGTTCTGCAGTAAATATTTATCACTGCACCCAATTACTCTTGGTATTCATATTTAATGTTTGAAGAACAACACGGTGAGACCCAAAGCAACCAGGAACTTTTAAAAATGAGGGCACCCACTTGTTATTTTGGCAAAATGAGTTTATTTATTATCCTCCGACTTAATACAAAGTTTTGCACGATCAAGAAGAATTTTTAAAGAGTATTTCGGCAAGAATATCCTTTGGAGTGCTACTACAATGCTTTAGATTGTAAATGTCACATGATGCCAAATCATGATAAAATAAGTATGGAATGGAATAGTTGAGGGATGAAACGCAATTTGTTGTCAAAAAATCAGTCACGAGTGGCGACCGATGAGAATCAAAAAGCAATCATCGAACAGTTTCGAAAAGAGTTTTTTCGAAAACAGAACTTAATATTTCCTTAAAATTTGTACCGATAGCAACAAATTGGTTTCTATCCATCAAATTGTCATAAAGTTTCGACTGGATGTCGATCAAATATGTCCCTCAGAAAGTAAATGGTATTCAAAATTTCTCTTTGATTTGGGATGCACTAGTAAGGGGTGTATGAGTTCCGATTTCTTACTTGAATTTGTGAAGAAATGTAAGCTTCCTTAAAATAAGAATAAGAAGAGTATTTTAGTTTGAAAATCGTTTTGCAGCATGTCGCCTGTACATTTAAGTACAGAAACAAAAACCGCAAAAGTCTGCAAGTCTTCAT